CTGGGGTGAGCATCCAACACGCGCTGGGGACCAGCCCCCACCTAGCTCAGCGCCAGCAGCTCACTGAGCAATTTGTGACGCTTTCAAAACCTGAGATAAGATCCCTCCCCCGTGTGGTCCCAGTCAGGCAGAGATAAGCTCCTGAAGAGGGAATCAGCTGCTTTCATGCCAGACACATACCTGATATCCAGGCTCTCCACCTGCAGTGAGGAGCAGAAAAAAATTAGCAGTCACTGTCTGTAATTCATGCAGTCGCACAAACAACCTCCCTGCCCTGCCTCCTGCTGTGACACAGCACAGAGAGAGGAAACCAACCTGCCAGGACCCCCACCATCAGGGCAAGTGCCTGGGCTCTGCAGCCGAGGCAGTTTCACTGGAGTGACTGAGAAGGAGGAAGGCTCCCGAGACCCACCATGTCGGGGAGCTCACCATAACCCTTGTGGCTAAAGCCTCCAGACTTTAGGGAATGCACAGATGATCCAGAGGGATGGCACTGACAGCGAGTTCCTGGTAAAGTCTGGTGCTGTCATTTAGGGCTCTCCCCATCCCAAACTGAGATCCTTAAACATGCCTCAGCCTCCTGCCAGGATCAGCCCAGCACACTCACCTCCAGTAATGACGCTTCTTCAATGTTGCTCAGGGTCTGCTCGATGCGCTCGATGTCCTCCCGCAGCACTGATATCCCCTCCTCCAGCCGGCTGACATCCCCATGCAGCCGTGCCAGTGACTGCTCCTCCTTTTTGCCCAGCTCTGCCAGCACAGCTCTCTCCTCTTCCTCCAGGATCTGATGAAGCCGAGCAAACTCTGCCCGGATCTTGAAGTTCAGCTCCCCAGACACCTTCTGAGCAGAGGGGAAAAGGGAGAAGATGAGTCTGGCAGGTAAAACACACATGGAGGTGCACAGGAGATATGGGCCCGCAAGTTTTTGGATGGAGAACAGGACACAAGGACAACTCTTGAGACAGAGACAAGACGGGAAAAAAAACCAAACCAAAAAAAGCACCCTACTGAGAGCTTGGTCATCCTGACTAAAAATTCTCACACAAAGCCCTCTCTCACACTACCAGGAATTTGCTCATGTGCAAGACTGAAGTTCTTCTCCTTCTCTGGAGCTGCAGACTCAACAGTTCAGGTTAGTTAGGATTTATTTCACATCGTGCCAGAGCCCAGGCAGAGCTGCCCAACACCGGCAACTTGCTCTCTTTCTCTGATGCCTCTGTCTTTCAGGGCTCCTGTTTGCATGGGAGAGACGAGAATGCTGCACAAACTAATCTCTGCAGTTAAGGCTGATAAAATACCATTCAACTCTTCTCAGAGGTCACTTTTCCAGTCGTTTAGTCACCCAGCTAACCTTGTGCCTTCCTGCCTGTCTACAACAGACGGCCAATGATTTTTTATTTTCCCAATCTTGAAGCTTTTAATCTCTAAATGCAACCTTAGCCCTCAATATTTTCTTCAGAGCGCTTCCTGAAACACCCATCCCTTTCTGCCAGCAGGAAACCCATCTCCTCAGAGTACATCTGAGGCCTCACCAGCCAGCACAGCACCTCAGCTTCCCCTTGCTTTAGCAGGTGTTTGCACCGACACACCAGAACCAGAGAGGACATGCGTCGGCCTCCCTGTTCAGATCAGCAAATTTCTACCAAAATAGCTCTTAGTCAGCAATTCCACTGCGATAAGACACCACCTGCATATGCTTATTTGCTAATACTTCTTAACTAAGCTCAAAGGTCTAGTCTAAATCTGGCAGCAGGACAGAGGTATGGAACCACAGAGGCAGGAGGATCAGAAGCTACAGCTGGAAGAGTCTCCCAACAGTTTTATCTCACCTCTGAACTACTTCTATTTTCCTTAAACTCTCCTTGCTTGGGTATTAATACTTCTACATCATTCAAGAAGAAAGCACAGTCAGGCTGTGACTGTTCTTGCTTCACTGATCAGTGACAAGTAGGAAGCCCGGTGCCACCTGAGTCTGTAGAGAGCACTCAGGCTCCTCACATCACCCCAGAGCTTCACAGGGAATCCAAACACAGTCCTGGTAACAAGGCTATTGCTGTCTGCAGCACCAACATTGCTGCTGACCCAGCTCCTTCAGCTTTGCTGACACCCTTGCAGTCACACAACAGGATTTTGGAGCTTCCTAAAATTAACCCTCTCCCAAAGTGGCAGTGCCCTGCTGCACGGCCAACACAACCTGCTCAGCCAACAGCTCTCGCCACTCGCCAGCTCTGCTGTGCCAAAGTACCTTGTAAATGCTGCATTAATGAGTGCCCAATGCCTCCCTCCTCCACTCAGGAGTGACGGGCTTTGGTCTCTGTGCAGGGGAGTTGCTTCAGATCCCTACATAGCTATTTGTCTACATTTTTACACGAAACTGAAGTAAATCTCTGCTGAAGTGATATGCAGCTTTTCTATGAAGATCAACCCAGAGGCTGTTTGGAAAGCAGCTATCACAGGGTGTTACCGTCAGGCCACAGATATCTTCCTGTGTTGCACGCTTTCTCTGCAAGAAGTTCTCCATCTCCTTCTGACGAGCTTGCAAAGCGTTTTCCAGGTGCTTCTGCAGGAATGAGGAAAAGAAGGTGAGGAGACCATTTCACCACTCTGCTACAATTCAGCAGCAATCCCAATTTCTGAGGCCTTTCCATTAGAGGGAGGCTGCAACGGGATTTCTTACAAAGACAGTAAGGGGAAGAAAGCAGGCGATGCCCAGGTTCGGGAGGGCTGCCCAGGGCTCAGGCAGTGCCCATCCCCTTCTGCCCCAGCCAGGCAGAAGCCGCTCACCTGCATCCTGC